TTTTTTTTTTAATTCAATATTATCTTTAAATTATTTTTTTATTTTAAAAACACATTATAAGAGGAAAAAAATAAAAATATATATAAATAAAATAAATAAAAAAGAAAAAAATCTAATTTCAAAAGCCAAAAATGATTTTTAAATATAACTAATTATTAAAACAATTAGGTACTAATAAACAATCATTTTATTTTTCTGGTATAAAAAAAATATAAAGAAGATAAACACAAAAATAAATTTAATAATTAAAAATAAAAAATACAAAGTAGGAGGGAATTTATATACTTGGGGATTTTATTCGAGTGGAACTGGATTCCAAGATCCTTCTAATTCTCCTAGAAAATTAGATATATTTAAAGATAATGTACAAAAGGTATCTATGGGACGACATCATACAGCTGTTATTACAAGTAAAAAATACATAAAAAAATAAATATATAAAAATAAAGCCAATGGAAAATTATTTACTTTTGGCTGTGGAAAACATGGTGCATTAGGTTATAAAAATTATTATTTTTAACACACTCCTAAAGAAGTACCTTTTTTTTCTGATAGAAAATTAAAAGTAATAGACGTAGTAACAGGATATAATCATACAATAGCAGTTGTTGGTAATTTATAAAATAAAAATATAATATATTAATATATTTATATGTATATAAATATTGATGTTTATTTTATTATATATATATATATTTATATTTAAATATTTATATAAATTTTAGAAAATGGAGATATATATTCTTGGGGATGGAGTGGAAATAATTTAAGAAGTATTTTTGGACTAAATTATTTGATGTCATTATTTAAAGCTCCACCAATTGGTGCATTGGGAAGAGGAATAACTAATAATAATTATTTACCAGAAAAGATTTCAAATTTGAATGCTAAAAGTTATTAATAATTAGTTTCTGGAGATCATTTCGTTCATTTAGTTAAATAAGGAGGTGAATTAGTTAATTGGGGTTAAGGTATTGATGGATGTTTAGGAAACGGATATGAATCAGCATTATATACACCTGCCATAAACGAATATTTCTAAAATTTAAAAGATGAATAACATATCAATATTGTTAAAATAAAAGCCGCTGCACATCATTCAGTTGTTTTACTTTCAGATGGAAATTTATACTCTTTTGGTAAAAATGATTAAGGTTAATTAGGCATTAGATTGAATTTAGGACATACTAATGATAAATTAGCTGTTTCACCTACTCCAGTAAATAATGTTGCTTATAAAGGTTAAAATATTGTAGATTTTGATACAGGAAAAAACACTTTAGTGATTTTAACAGGTTTCTTTTTTATATATATATTATTATATATATTTTTATAAATTTTAAATAAAGACTAAAACTAAGTCTTCTTTAGTGGACTAGAATTAGCTTATTAACCTATTAAATGGGAAATCCCTTCAAATGAAAAAATTATTAAAGTTACTGCTTCAGAAGATTCATTTGCAGCATTGACTGGTAATTCTTATTATTGTTTGTTATTTTAAATATAATAATATTTATTTTAGAAAATGGAACACTTTATTAATTTAATCAATATTGTGATGCCAATGTAAGAGAATATGAATAATATGAATATGCAATTTAAAATGATAAATCATTTTAAGGAAAAATAGTTGATGTTGGAGGAAATTATGGAATTAGATATGCAATAGTTAATTGAAAATAAAAATAAAAATATATATATAATTTTTTAGATATTATATATATATATAATATTTGTAAATTTTTTTTATATTAAATAAAAAAAAAAGACAAAAATATAAAAAATTAACTAATTTTTTTTCATTAAATAAAATATTTCATATATATATATATATTATTATTTATATATTTTATATATATTTTTTGTTTTTTTATCACATATTATCTATAGCATCTCTTATTAAATCTCCTAATTTTTTATGTTTTTCATCCAAATTTTAAGTAATATAATAAATAAAATGCTTAGATTCTTTTTTACAATCATTAAGAATACCTTAATAACTAATAATTCTTCCATCTTCATGTTCTACTTATAATGTAAACTAAGAATCTTACCCGGTTCTCTAAGTAAACAACTTACAATAAAATTCCCATTTTGAGCCTACTTAAGGTGGTTTTAGTAAATAAATATGTTCAATAGGAAATTTATCATCTTAATTTTTTCCTGCGTTCATATCTAATTAAAGAAAAGATCCACAACTTTCACATTTTTTCGATCCATAGAAAATATGACTAATATATAAAATAATAAATAATATATATAAATATTCATTAATATAAAAATACATATATACATATATATATTTACTTTTTGCAAGGACAAATAACATTTAAATCTAAATCATTAGAATCATGCCAAATAAGTGTAAACCACATATTTTAAGATGACAAATTTTTAAGTTTCATTCTATTCATTTTTTCAATTCTACTTTGTTTCCATTCTTGTATTTTTTAAGGTAGACTATTTCTCATATCAGAACTTAAATATTTCTTCAAATCCTATTTAATATCTTATATTTTAATTTCAATTTCTTTAGTTATATTCTCAACTTTTTATTTAAAAATTTAATTCTATTATTTCGTTTCATCATCATTTATTTATATTATTTTAGAATGAATTGTTTTCCTATTAGAAGAATTTGAATAAGGACATTGTTTTTTGTATTTTAAAAGCAGCTTTTTTAATTCTAAAAGCATCCTATTAAATGGTTATTCCTATTCCGACATTATTCCAATTACAATTTAATCTAATTTCTCGTTAGCTTAGTCAAATATATCTTAGTCTGTAATATCTAATTATTAAACATCAGCTATTTCACGGAGTTTTAATAATCTTTCCTTAAGTTTTTCAAAGTTTTTATCTAGCAAATCTAATAAATTTAATTAACCAACTTTTTATAATCCTTATTATATTTCATCTACTAAAAATTTCTATTCAGCATTTTAAAACATTTAATTAAATTAATTTTTAACAAATTTTTTATGATCGTCGCGTAAAAACTAAATATTTAAAACATTTGCACCAAATTATTTTTTCTTTAATTTAAGAAAAAATGGATAAATTATATAAAATAAAAAATGGAAAATATATATATATATATATATATATATATTTATATATATAATCATATTGATATATTCAAATACTAATTAATTTATCATTTCTTCTTATGAAAAATAAGCTTTATTTCTAAAATCATCATAAAAAATTTCTATTAGTGATTAGATTGATTTTTATACAATTTATTAACTTAATTATTTTCCTGCTATTTATTATTTTTCTTATTCATTATTTTCATTTAAAAATCTACAAACTAAATTTTCTTTAATTTTTTATAAATATTCTACTTTAATATTTTTGTTATCATCTGTTTTTGTACTATTTTTATTATTTAATTTATTAATATACAAGTTTTATTCATTAATTTAAATATTTATTAAATTTTTATATTTTTCATTATTTTTTTATGCTATTTCTTTAAAATATTTTAATATCAATTCATTTTTAATTTCTTATAGATCTTTTTTTAATTTATCTTCTTCTTTTTATTTTAATTCTTTTTCTTTTTTTTATAAAAATTCCTGTAATTTTTCCCTTAATTTATCCATAAAATGTATTTGATTTTAAAATTAGTTATTTAAAGCGTATTTTTCTAACAATATATTAATTTGATAGGGTAAATCATCTAAAAGAAGTGTATTATTCTATAAATTTCTATAAAAAACTTCAAATAGATCACTAATATTTTAATTTAATTCAAATTAATTTGGAAAACATAAATTTTCTTCGATATATTTATCAATAAAACCAAATAAATTTTCAAAAGAAATATATTTTTTTGGTTTATTTTCAAATTAATTTTATATTTCAACCTATATTTAATCTATTTTAGCCTAAAATTCATCCTCTTTATCCATATCATCATCTAAAGCTTATTAAATTTTTAAAAAATCATCGATTTTTTACATAAATGATTTTTTCTCATTTTCAAATCCAACTTAATTATGCCAAAATATGTCTAAAGAATTCTTATTTTTAATTTTTATATTTATATCATCCTCCATTTTTATCTTAATGAAATTTTATTGTAATAAATACTCTTCTTTTTCGGCAAAAATATGTGTATTTTCTTCTTTTAATTACTCAAAAGTTACTTGAATTTCCTCAAAGTAATAATTATTTGACATTTCTTCATATTTAGTATATTCTGGTAGGTTTAATTGATAATATAAAGCTATTTTTTAACCATAAAAAGCTTAAATAAATATTAATAATTCTTCAAAAATAAATGCCTTTCGTGTTTTTTCAAAAATTTCTTAATTTTAAATATTTATAAAAGCTAAATTTTCTAAAAAAGCAATTTTTTCTAGTAAAGCTTTAATGGAGATTTTTTGTTCATTTTTTTGTCCATTTTTTTGCTCTTTTTTTTATTAAAAAATTCCTTCTTCTAAAATGAATTTTTCTTTTTAAAATTTTAAACAGTATATTTTTTCGATTTAAAAAATTAAATTTGAGCTTTAGTTTTTATAAAAAATTAGCATTTCATTTTCTTTTTAATCCCATAAACTTTTATATTCTTAAACCAATAAATTTTATTCATATTTATTTTTTTAAAAGATTTCTTCTTATTTTTATTTCCAAAAATCTTTTTCTATTTAAAAATTTTCGTTTTCTTATTAGACAAATTATTATTCGATTTTTCTTGTTTTTATTTACTAAAATAAATCCACTAGTTCAAAGCATTAATTCTAATATTAATCTTAAAAACCTAAAACTTAATCTTTTATTTCTTAATATTGGTTTTCGAAATTATCTATTTATATATTAGGTATATTAAATTATTTTAAATTATCAATTTAAATGTTAAATTCATTTATTTTTTCTTTTTTTTATTCATTTATAGTGTTTATAAGATTTTCTTTACCTTTTTTTTAAATTTCTTATTCTTTAAATAAATTTAGTTATTCTTTTTACAAATTTTCAAGTTCTTTTTTCAAATTTTATTATTCATTTTATACATCTTCTTTTTATTTTTTTAATTCTTCTTTTTCATTGTATATATCTTCTTTTATTTTTTTATATCTTCTTTTTCTTTAGTTTAATTTTGGAGTTGTTTTTATAGATTTTCTTAGATTTTATATTAATTTTCTATTTCTTTTTATATTTCTTCTTATTTTATTTCCAAAAAATTTTCTTTAGTTTATATTTCGTCTTCTTTTTTTTTATTTATTTCCATTTTTTTTTATAAATCTTATTCTTTTTATTAAATTTCATTTTAAATTTTCAGAATTTCCTTTTCAGAATTTTAAATTTCTTAATCTTTTTTATTTATTTCCTCTTCTTTTTTTTATTTATTATTTCATTTTTTATTAATTAATCTTCCTTTTTTTAATTTCTAATATTAATTTGACCATATCTTCTTCTTTTATTTTCACTTCCTCTTCTTTATTTTTTATTATTTCGTCTTTTTATTTAATCATATCTTCCTTTTTTTTCAAATCTTTCTCTCTTTTTTATATTTCTTCATCTTATTTTTTATTTTTTTCATATAAAAAGCTTATATTATATTCCAAATTTTTTAATTCTTCTTCTTTTTACAAATTCTCCTTTTCTTTTTTCTATTATAAGTTTAAAAATTCATCTTTTTATTTCTATAAATCACCTTTTAAGTTTTCTAATAAATTCTAATTTTTTAAAAGATCATTCTCTTTTAATAAAACTTTCTCTTATCTTTACTAAAATTCTTCTTATTTTTTATAAAACTCTTTCTCTTTATTACTCAAAGCAGCTTCTTTGAATTTAAAAGCAGTTTATTAAGTCATTTATTTATTTTTAAAATCTTCCAATTATTAAATAATTAACTAATTTTGTTATTATTATTCTTGGTTTGAAATTTCTTTAATTTTTTTTAAAAATTCTTCTTTTTCTATTTAAATTTAATCTATTTTTAATTATAATTCATCTTCCAAATTTTTTATTTAATCATTTTTTTATTCTAAATCTTTTTATTGTTTTTCTTCCTTTTTTTTAATTTCTTTTTCTTTATTTTCTATTATCTCTTATATATGTTTTATTTCTTCTTCTTTATATTAAATAATATAATTTTTTTCCTAAATTTCATATTCTTTTTATTTTAATTATTTGTTCAAATTTTCAATTTCTTCATTTTTCTTTAATAAAATTTCATCTTTTTATTTTATTTCTACAGTTTTTTATTTCTAATATTCCGTATATTCGCTTTATAAATCTTCGATTTAAATATTAATTTTTTTTCTTATGTTTTTTTAAGTTCTTATATTTGTAATTTTTGCTAATTGTCTTTAAACTTTAATTATTTTAAAAGTTCATTTTTTTAATTATCATATTAATTATTTTCTATCTCCTCTAATTCATAATATTATTTATTTTCTAATAAGCAATTTTAATTTTATAAATTAGAAATTTTTTTCTAGAACTCTTTTATATTTTAATTTAAGTCTAATTCCTACTTTTATATAATTGGATTTTATTCTTTACAATATTATATATCTGATTCATTATTTTACTAAATATTTTAAAAATATTATTATTTATTATATTTTTCATTAACGAAACAAATAATAGATTTTAAAATATCAAAGATAATAGAGAATATCTCAAAATAAGATTTTTTTTCAAATATTTTTTTACAAATATTAAAACAAATTACTATTATTATTATATCCATTAATCCTATTCCATTGGACTATTTTTTTATATAATTTATATAAGTATTTATATATATATAATTATATTTATAATAGTAAATATATTATCATATATTATATTTATTATTTTAATATTTTCTTAAAAATTAAATTCTTTAATCTTTTTTTTTTCCATTTATAAACTTTGTAGTTAGATAGTTTAAAAAAAAAATTAATAAAAATAAAATAAAAAAATTAATATATTTAATTTTATATATATTTACATTTCTATTATTTAAACTAATAGACCATCCAGAAATAAAAAACATTAATAGAATAAAAATTATGCATCTTTTATAATTTTTAGTTTCTATGCCTTTGGTAATGTAGTTTTGTATCTTTAAAATCCATAACTCTATATCGTCTTCAATTTCTTCTTTTTATTTAAATTTTATATCTTCTTAATGATTTTATTATTTATTAGAATAATATATTTTTCCATTTTAAATTTAATTATATTGATTTATTTTATTTCATATCAAATATTAAAGATAAAATATATAATAAAGTCTTATAAATTTTAAAGTATAAAATATATATAAAATAATATTATAATAATTTATTTAATATATATAGTTATTATTATATATATATATATATATAATAATATTATAATATATAAATTTATATTATTTTATATATATATATTATATCATTATTATAGTATTTTATTTTTATTTTTATTTTATTAATAAATTTTATTCTTAGTTTTTTTTTAAATAATATTTAATTTTTGTTCATTGTTTTTAATTTTAACATAATATATCTAATAAATTATATAATTTAATAAACATATATTATATTTATTTATTTTTATTTATTAAAAAAAATTAATAATTTTAAAAAATTTATTAAATAATTTTAATTACAATTTATTAATTATATTGTTAAATAAATAATATTATATATATAACTCAAAATATAAAAATATTAAACAATAAAATAAACAAAAAATTAACAATAATAAATAAAAAAATTTACCATAAACACAAATTATATTACTTATTTTTATTTAATTATAATATATAAAAATAATAATATAGTTTAAATTTAAAAGTAATAATAATTTGTTTATAAATATAGTAATAAAATTCTTATAATTTAATTACTTTTTATTAAAATAATTTTTTCAAATTATTTATTATTTTTATATTTTAAATTTTATTAATAACAATTTCTTTTAAATTTTATAAAATAAATATTATTTTTCTTATAATTTATTAAGTGCTATTAAAAAAAATATAACAATATTAATATATTAATAAAAAATTTAAAAAAGCATAGTCATAATATTAAAAAAAAATTAATAGTAAAAAAAAAAAATTAATAAATAAAAAATATAATAAATAAAATATTAAATTTAATAATAAATATAAAACTTTTTAAAAAACATTAAATAATTAATTAAAAACAAGAATTGATTAATGGGTTAGTGTTGCACTACAGCTCCAAACGAATAAAAAGATTAAATTTAGTTATAAAAAGAAATATATAAACCAATGAATCCTGAAAGTGAGCATCAAGAGGAAAATATTATAGTTGCAATTCGTAAGAACATAAATAAAAAATTTACGAAAATAAATTTAAATTAAAAATATTCCTTAAAAAATTAAATATTTATTTTATAAAAAAATAAAAATAGACAAACAGGAATTAAATTTAAATAAAAATTTAAGTGATAGTCAAACCTCTGAAAATTAAATAAGAGAATTAAAAGAACAGAAATTTTAATAAGATTACCATCATAAATAAGAAAAATTAGAAAAATCAGAACAAAATAATCCACATGCTCCTTAACCAAGTGTAGCAATACCAGTACAACATTTCCCTAATTTTCAAAATGAAAAAGGAAAAAAGACACTTATAGAGTAAGGAGAATTTATTTTCGATGAAGATGAGTAAGGAAATTCTAATTTACCGAAACTAGGTCCTTATTAATTTGAAAATGGTTCTATATATATTGGACAATGGAAAGAAGGATAAAGGCATGGACATGGAACATAATATTGGAGTGATGGTTCAATATATGAAGGTTATTGGAGAAATAGTAAAATAAAAATATATTATAATTATATAAAATTGAAAATACATATAAATAAAATAATAATAATAATTATATATATATATATATATATATATATATATATTATATATATATATATT